AAAAAGTTCAGTATTCAAAATACATACTTCTATCCCAGTTAGAGTGCATTTTGGGCCATTAATACTTTGCATAAATCGATCTTTCTTATACTCCTTCTTTGGCATCGTTTTCACTTTTTGGCACTTTGGTCAGTTTCTTAAACTCTGCTGTTTGCTCACTCTTCCACCCAAAATTAATGTCTCTGCTTCACAGAAATCTGTCTACCCTTTACAACCAATCTTGAATGTGCTGAACTATTATTTCCTACACTGTCACTTTATGATGTGATGTATTATTTACTGGCACAGGAGCTAATTAGAGATTGCTGCCTTAGAACTAAAACCACTTGAAGTATTTTATGTATTATAAGGTTTGCCCAACATGGCTGGAAGATTGCCAGGCACAAGAAGACACATGAGTCAGTGATTTAACATATTAGTTGGCCCTGTTACAGCAAGTAGAAAATAAGGCAAACAACAATTTATGCTTTGTAAATCAATAAATTGAAAGACATGTTTTCTTAGCTCTACGTGGGTTGATTAAGAACTTCATATATATAAGTGGGAAAAAATAATTTGAATATTTAAGGTAAAACAAGTCTACACTAGACATCAAAGCAACAGAAGACAGCAAGAACTTCATGGTACATTCTGAAGGTTATATAAGTGGCAATACTTTTCAGTGCATTTGCTTGGCAGGACTTCCAAACCACCTATGACCACCACAGATGAAAAGCACAGCCCTTCTTAGTGCCTCTGACTTCTCCACTTTGGCACATACACATGGACGAGAGTGTTGCTGAATTTTGTGTCAGTCACAGAGTCATATTCATCTGAAGTTGGTGGGACTTCTTCAGAGGATATAATTTGAATTAATGATAAAATCTACAGCCCCCCATACTTGACAAATGTACACTAAAAAGAAATTGAAACACAATTTAGACTTGAAATTCCAAATTCAAAGAGATTTTTGTTCTTACAAGTGCAAATTTATCCCTAATTAGATTAGACAAAATGAATGTCATCCTTATACATAAGTCTCGTTTATCCTTTGAGAAAATAGAGAAATGCAGTACTTACACCTAAAACAGTTGTCAAAAGGAGTAATCAGACTTGTTTGAGCCTTAGGCCAAAAATTGTCATGTTCTCTTCTAAACTTCAAGGTTGCAGAGATGAACAAAATAAATCATTCCCCCAAAACCCCTACTTAAAAGTGAAAAGTAAATGAAATTTAAAAATTAATGTTAAATTTTGTAAAAGAGCTCTGCCCCAAGTACTTTGAAAGCACAGGGCAGGTGAATACAGTCAGACTCTTGAGAGAAAAACCACTTCTTAGGCATTTTACTGAACGTTTTCTTTATCCACTCATCTGTTCATGGATCTGTAGGCAGTTTCCAAGATTCAGCTCTTATGAATTGTGCTGCTGTAAGTTCGTGTATGCCTGTATCACTGTCATATGATATCTTTAAAGCTTTTGGGAAGATGTACAGAAGAGGAACAGATAGGTAAATTGAAATTTGTATTCACAGTGTTTTGAGGACTCTCCACACTGATTTTTACTGAGTACTCTGCAAAAAGATGATATATTGCAGTCATTTGTAGAAAAATGGATGAACCTTGAGACAATAATGGTAAGTAATATAAATTATACATGGAAACTTAACTATTATATAGCTTGGCTTAATAAGAAACCTGAAGAAAAGTGGGTGTGGTGGCTCATGCCTGTAACTCCAGCACTTGGGAGGCTGAGGCAGGAGGTTCAATGTGAGTTTGTGGCCAGACTGGGCTAGATAGTGAATTCAAGATCATTCTGGACTAAATGGTGAGACCCTGTTTTATTTTGTTTTTAGGAAAATCAAAAAATAAATAAGAAGCAAAATGTAAAGTAAGTAATAAGAAACAGAGGGATAGATCTTTTTCAAATGGAAAAGAGACCAAGATTTGGAGAGAAAAGGTGGGAGAGGAAGGGGAATTAAAAAGAATTAAAATGTGTTAAATATATTTACTAGATGTCCAACATGATTGTTATCATTGCATACTACAAACATGAACTAAAGATTAAAAATTAAAGTAGGATTTAACCAACAAAATGAAACAAAGGGAAACCCTTCCACCCTCCCAGGGAGAGGGACTGATGTGCTTTGGAGATGAGTGGACACGGGTGATACACAGCGGTATGGTTTAAAGCAGGACGTATATAGGGAGATGCACTGAGGCACAAGGGATGGAAGGGAGAGAAACACAGGGTAGTCTGTCAAGCTGCAGCCTGTCCTTCTGCCTTAGAAGAAAACTGTGTTCCAAGCACTGTATGGAAGTTAGTGTTCTAAGTATTACCCTGTATACCTGTGACACAGATAGTACTGTCATAGCTGTTTGAGAAAAGGGAAAACAAGCTCAAGGAGAAGAAATTATTAGTTCAAGCACAAAAACCATGCATATCATTTACTTATATTCAAAGTTCAGCTTATTTGATTCTTGATTAGAGTCCTAATTCACAGCATAATTCTTCAATAAAATATGTGACTAGATACGCAAAGATTGGCAGGAATTTAAAGGAAGCCACCTAACTAAATATGAAATTAAAAATATCAAATTGATCAAGGAAATAATTCAGTACAATAAGCAAAAAGAGAAAATTCAGGAATAAGAAAATATATCCTAAAATTTTTAGACAGAGCATTTTGAGAGCTTGGAAGATATATTCATATGTAAGTGGCAGAAAAAAATAAATCTTTCAAAACAACTACAAAAGATGAGAAAAATCTCAAAATCGAGATATGGTATGTTAAATGGACTTTAATGATAAAAAGTAATAAGTAGCAAGGATCAAATAACAACAACATTTGAAGTATAAATAGCAAATATTAGAAAAATAAAACCACTTTTTAAAACTGTAAATATCCATATTAAAACAGTTTATTACCAAAGAGCACTGCATGATGACACATCTAATCCCTCCCAATTAAATTGCAGAAATAGTCCCATTCATTGCAATGTCAATATTTTGCAAGCATGAGATTTGCATTTATTGCCATCTCTGCTGGAGAACACATTTTCCTCAGCTTACAATATGGCTGGATTCTCTTGAGGATCTGGTGTATTGTTTCTTCTTCACAAGGGCTTCCCCTCATTGGTAAATCTACTCTCATCATATGCCCACATTAATCTCTTTTTCTGTCTTATGTCTTTCAAGTAATTTCTCATGATCTGCAATCAGTCATTCATTTGATTATAATCCATTCTCACCATCTCATATAAAATGTGTATTTTGTATGTATAGGCTCTACTTTCCTAAAAGGATTTGGCAGAAATTTGAAGAGTTCAAAAAATGAGAAATAAAATCCATCTGTTTTAATTTCTAGAAAGAGAATGATAAAAAATGAAATAATGAAAGAAATAATGGAAATAGTGAAAGAAATAATGAAAGAAATAATGGAAAAATATATCCAAGGTACAAGAACAAACACCTGGCTTGTCATTTTTGCCATGTTGTGAAGCAGTTCTAGAATTCATCTGCTAAGTGTCTTTCTGACTTGTGATCAAAAAATCCTGTGAGTGCTACTGTGGACTGCCCCCACTGGAAAAGCAGCCTTGAAAAAGCATTTCATTGTGTCCTTAATTGATCTAATTCAGGCGATCTGACCCCGTGTACATTCTCACTCTTCCTCAGAGGCAAAAAGACCTTCCTGTTTCATTTCATTTCATTTCATTAAGTGAATAAACTGTCAGCAGTAGCAATTATAGTGAATATTAGTTATGTCACACATTATGTCTTTTACTTTTCATAATGAGGATTGATGAATTGACACTTTCTGTATTCTCGAAATGAGAAAGCTGCTGGAAGAGAGTTTAATTTACAGACCTGAGGCACATAATCAATAATCTTATTTTCTAATAATTGTTCTTCATTATAAAGGAGAATGAATTTCTTTAATGTGGAATTAGACTTTGTATATTCTCTTCAGAGTAAGAAAGTTTGGATTTGCATTTATTTCAAAACTCATTGGACATGGATTTATTAATCTTATATCTCAAAAATATGATTACTGATTTTATCTTTTATTTTATTTACACAAAAATAAATTCTCAAGATATTAATTTTATCAAAATTAATTTTATCAAAATTAATTTCATCATGGAATGTTTCTGCCTTAAATTGAGCTACTTGAATAAGATACTTAAGAAAGTTGAAGGAATTCATACTTATTTTTTAGGTGATGCAAGTGTTGTGATATATTTAGGTTCATTTGTTTTAATTACTCATCCTCTTGTAAAAAAAAATACTAGTAGTACTGTATATACCAGTGATGGGAATCCTCATAATTCAAATGAGGAGAGCTGGTTTCAGAGGTTTCAGTGCACACTTGTCTGACTTTAAAGCGGACTCACCATTGAGGGGCAGTGGGAAGTGCTCACTCACAGTGACTGCGATGCAGAGCACAGAGACATAGGACGAGCGAGATCACAGGCCAGGGGCCTCCAGTGTCAGCCCCTCCAATTGTGCCCCCGCTCGTAGGAACTCATTCCAATATGAACACCAGCGGATTAATCCAATAAAACTCTCAGGGCCTGATCACCTCTCCAGCAATCTCTTAATCCTGTCAAGCTTACAATTAGCATAACTGGCAAAGAATACAAAACTCACTTCCCTGAAGCATGATGGGATTGCCGGACATTATAAATGCCACAACTGAGGCTTGCAGGATTATGTCAAAGAAGGAAATTTCAGCACAATCTTGGTTTTCTTCAGTCAAGTTTAGCTGCAAATGTTCATTTGCATGGTATGCAGAGAGGTGGATTTCTTCATCAGTGGAGTTTTGTTAAACAAGTAGTTGAGGAGAGACAAGTGACCAGATGGTATTCTGCTCTTGGCGATTTTAGAACATATATGGGTGAGGAGCCAAAGACATTACATGACAACAGTGAGGAAGAGGCAACTGGTGGAGCACTTGATGAATTGTAAAAATATTTGATATTGTTGAAACCGAGGAGGCAGTTTGAAATAACTTGGGTGTTTGGTATTGGAATTACAGAGGCTACACATTTATTGATCTTGGCACACTGCATGGGATGACAATGAGAACATTTTATTCAAGACAAGAACAATGTGATTAAATGACAGCCTGCCCAATACCGAGGAGTTGAGATTGGTAAATGATTTATCTACATAAGCACTGGGATTATGAGAGTAATAGTGAGAGGTTAACAGTGAAGTCAAAGATAATATCTTCAGAGACCTTAGGCAGAGCAGCTGAGACTCAGCAGGTGACTCCAGAACACGTAGGTGGCACTGGCTTGGAGGACCGTAGGCTGTTTTATGACTGATCATGATACATATGACACCTCTTCCCCTCTTACTCTTCTTTCTCCCACAAGTCCTCATCAAAGTCTTATTGCTTTTTTGATAGTAGTTCTTTATAATTTATGAACAATTTTTTGCCTAGAATATGAAAAGTGGCTACAGTCTGGATTCCCCTGCAGGTTTTAATTTACCATGTCTGAACAACACAGTAGAGAGTGGGAATCCTCTGCAAAAGCAGACCAGGACAAAATACACCTCATCACCAGATCTTGTGGTATAAGCAAATATAGAGAAGGAATTGTCCTCAAATACTTCTCAGTGATGTTAAGTCAAAGAGAAAGAAAACACAAACAAAAAATCCTCCATCAACTCTTCATGCCCATGAAGATAAAATGAATTTAAGTGTTAAAGTTTTTAGTAGAATTGTGTTTTAATTCATTTTGATAAAATACCTGAAAGTGGACTTGGTCCATGGTTTTAATGGATGGGGTATTTCCCCCAAAACGTTAGCCGCACTTGGATATTTCATAACTGCCACCCAAGTTCATAAAATACTATGCTAATTTTCAAATGTTAGCCCTTTAATAAACCGTTCAAATTTTTGAAATGTTAGATACGTGAACTTCAATAAAATGACTCTGTGTGTGTGTGTGTGTGTGTGTGTGTGTGTGTGTTTCTAGGAGATTTATTCAACTGGTGCAATGGCACATGGTTTTCATTTCTTATTTTGAGACAGCATCTCATTGAGTTGTCCAATCAGGGCTTGAATTTGCAATCCTCTTGCTTCAGCTCCCCAAGTAGGAATGAATTTAAGTACATTCCACTGGGTGTAATAATCGTGAAAATATTTATTTAATGTAATAACATTATGGATGAGAGTTGATCACCTATATTTCTGACCAAGAAGATGTTTGCTTCTCAGTGTCCACGTAAGTGCCACATTTCCTTACCTTTGAGGAAAGATAACAAGCAACCATATCAAGCCCCAGCCATGAATTAATTTTACAATTTATTTAAAAGCAAAAAATTATCAATTTTAGGTATTTTCACAATATAAAAAAATCAGTTTAAGAGTATGTATACAATATTTATGCTCACTCATTACATTTAGTATTAAGTCTCAACTGGTTTACTTACTAAGGGAATATTTATTTCAGAATAGATATGTAAAGAGTTATTGGTAGATATCAGAGTTTTGTTCTGCCATCTGCTTATTATTGTCATATTTCTTAGTATAAGATTGTTATTTTCCCAATTGCAATATTTCTATTTTGAAAAACATCTTATGATATGATCCTAGATGTGGCAGCATAATGTGTTTAGAGACTGAGATTGTCAATATTTTGATGAAATGGAATGACTTTAAGGGTAGCTCTTTTTCATAATCAGATCACCACCTTAAACATTTTCAAGTGGTACTGAAAAATAGAATAGTTAGGAGTACAAACATAACAACAGATACTAACAGCAGTGAAATACAAAGAGAGCCATGACTTGGTAACCTATGGTCACATGGATAGAGCCGCTCCACCACGAGATATTACTGGTGGATGTGTTTCCTCATGATGTTCAAGCATGAGATCGTTCATGGGCAAAATAAATATTCTGCCTGATCTTAAAGCATAATCCATACATCTTTCCTTCCTCTCTGCAGGATCTACATGGGCTTTACACAGAGTAAATTTGTCTGAATTTTCAATGGCAGTTCATCTACTTCAATTTCTGAAACCTATGAAGTCTATTATTAAGTTACTTTCTAACCTCTTCAGGTATTTAATGAACTTCAGACTTCCTGTTTTTCCCACACACAAAACTTCTAATTCCTCAAAGTGCTGCAGTGATCATCACAGCGTGACAGCAGTTGCTGGGATTTTAATGACATTTCAGTGAGCAGAGGTGTACAAGAGTAATAAACTGGCACTGCACTGAGGAAAACAGTTTTGGAAAAATTTGAGAATCAAGTCATAGTAGTGGTAAAGAGTACTCGAAATCATAAATGTATCTTGATACAAATAGTGACATTGCTCGGATAGGCAATGTTTTCTTACATTTTTCTTCCTGTAATTGTTAACAGTAGGTAGCACACAAAAAAAGTACTCAAAGACAAAGATACAAAAGCAAGATTTACAATACGTGAAGCAAGTTGTCAGAAATAGCACATTTACAAAATGAATATTGGATAAGTTCACAACATGTAAGAAAGAAAAAGAAGAAACTTGAAATTCTAACACTTTATATGAATATTCAATAGCGCTTTCTAGATCAAACCCTTTTCTACCATGTAGATTTTCCTAGGATTTGAGCTTTGGCATAGTTTTAAAATATCCATTGATGTCTGTTTTATTATAAATTTTTCCTTAGCCAGTCAATGTACTGGTCAAGAACTCTATATGTTATTTTAAGTTCAGGAACTGCAAGAGCTCCATGGAATCCGTCTTCCACATGGTTATGGGTCACTTGAACTCCAGCGTTCCGAAGTCTGGTGACATACATGAGTCCATCATCTCTGACGATATCATACTGAACAGTAAGGACATAGGTCAAGGGTAAACCACGCAACTTACTGTCATCTGCCAACAGAGGGGATGCTCTGACGTCGAGGAACCCGGGATACTTTTGAGATAACTCAGAACTACCGTAAGTTGGAGTTTTGTAAATATATCCTTTTCTAAACCTTTCAGGGAGCAAGGAACTCCAGTTAACAAATTTAAAGAGATGACTGGATTCTGCAGGTACATGCTGGTTGGACAGCATGGCTTTCTCAAGAGATCTGTCAGTTGTAAAATATTCACTTGTGACTCTGACCATGAGTGACTTGTACAGCAGGGGCATATGTGAATATTCCTGATATGATGGTGATTCAAAATCGAGAAACTGAAGGGAAGGATAAAGTAAAGCCTGGATCTTGAGTTTGATCTTGACTTCTGGGTTATCTAAGAGCTAAGAAGAAATTGAAAATATTTGCACAAATTAATGCCTTGACAATACTCAACTGAAATTTTATTCTATAAATTAAATAAAATCTCAAGGTATAATAACCAAAACATACCATCCATCAAAATAAGCTTTTTAAATATTTGAAAGGAATTTCCAGTATTAAATATGCCTTAACTGAAGCACTCTTTTAAGTTACAGAAAATCATCCGTGCAGTGCTCTTCAGGGATATTCAGAAAGACCTGAACAGCAGTGAGTTCCTGTCATATGCTTTCAGCCATGGATGGCAGATGAATGACGGTGTTAATTTAACTTGAATATTTTCTGATAGTACAAAAGTAACTAAACAGGACTACAGTTTTTTGCAGGAACATGGATCATTTAAGTATTTCTGCCTTTTTTCCTAAAATAACCCACTGTTTTAGATGATTTTGGAAAGCATTGTTAGTGAGGTGTTCAATTAAATCATTCCTCAATATCAGGATAATTAAAATTTTTATTTGTACGTGTTTGGAGTACATAGGATTACATTCCTTTTAGGGAATTGGTACAAGTAATAAAATTCCCTAGTTCTTTTTCCACTTCCCTCCACTTTTTAATTTATCATTTTGAGATCATTTATTTATCTAATTAATCCTTAAGAAATTAATTACTATATACATATTAACAAACTGGCCAATAGGTCAAAAACATGTAAAACACATAAGATAATTATACTAAATTAAGGTGCACTTTTAGATGCATTGTCCAGGCTGGATTAGAATAATTTTTTCAGTCTCTCTTTATCAGAATTAATATGCAAATATTTATATAGACCAGTGATACAAAAGAAATATGGGCAGATAACAAAGTGGATCAACAAGTGATCCACTAAAATATTTCTCAAAAAGTTTAATTTTAAGAACACCTTCTTAAAATATACTGTAGTAGGCTTTCATCATTCATATGCATAGCATAAAAGATGTAAATTATGTATAATTTCTATATTTGTACACATGCTGAGTGTACCCAAGTACTTCACAATGTGTTATGTTCATCTACATTTGCACTATAATAATCAAAATAGAACATTTTAGAGAAATTATTTAAATTTCATTTCATTCTCCCAGATTTGTTTATTTAACCCTTAGAATG